ATTGAAATTGTTGTTGTTGTTGTTGGCGTGGTAGCAGAAGCACAATGATGACAATCAAAAGCACCAGACCAGCTTTACAACAGGTAATGTGGTCTGTGTGGCAATAGATTGTAAAGCAGAAAAGGGCAATCATAGGCAATCACCGAACCCAGAGGAAGCCGATGCAGAAGGCCATCGTGCTCCTAACAAATTTGGTCCTAAGCTTAGCTAGTCACGTGCAGCAATAGTTGTGTTAGATACGTCGTATTAGCGTATTTGCTTGTCTGGTTCGGTGCTCATCTTATATAGGCCAGCTGGCATCCGCAGTTGTTGCATTGGGGTTGTTGGGGTTTCAAACTCAACTTAGAATCTGATTCCGTAGCCCTGCACGGGCATAGTACCTACCCGCCCACCAGCCATCATCCTAACCAGGCAGCATTTCCCCTTCAAGAACTGGGGGACTTTGCCGATCTCTTGACGGAGATTGCCGAAGATGTCTGAGACTGCCGAACTGCCAATCTTCGCAGTCGTAGCTGTGCGCATCTCCGACCGGGGCGGGGTCCCCCATGTCCTTGGTAGCCGGGACAGAGCTTCGAAGTCGTTGCTGCGTGTTAGCTTTCTCTCGCTTACCCGCTGCTTGTTGTTGGATCAGGCAAGCGTAGAATGTAGCACAACTTTGTGGGTCCCCGACTTGCTTCGAGAGTTGCCCACAGCTGTGGAGGTTGCAGATGCCTTGAAGGTTTCTGGGCATCAATGGTTCTTCAAAGCACCTTGACGTAAACCAAGGTTACAGCCCACGCCATGCCTTCGATTGTACATCATTTTGGAGTGCTTCCGGTGCTGGTAATCGCTTTAGTAATAGTGACAGTAATCATATTGGTAATGGGTCGAACGAATGAATTAGTCGAGTGGGTAGGAGTAGTAGTGGAAATAGCAGTTGCACGTGTAGCCAGCCCCAAGCTTCAGGTCATCAGTGTTGGTTTCAAGACAGCAGCCGGAAGAGCCATGCTCCGCCACAGTCTTCTGGCATGAAGAACTTCTGCCCAGCAGGCTCCCCCCGTTCAATCTCATGAATATGAGTTTCACATAGCTTCATGCTCGAGTCGGGTCCGCTGCGCCTGAGGGTTTAGGGTTTCGGAATGTTGGGGAGGTTTGCGGTAGCCGCATGTAAAGGGCTCCGATATTAGCCAGGTCTTCGCTTCCAAGTGCAATGGCCCTGGCGCGTCCCGACAGTGCCAAGTTTTGGCATGCAATTCGTGATGCCGGACCTTGAAATCTGATTTGCTAGCTTGGAAGCTTGCTGGTTAGAATACACTTTCATTTGAGTCAACAATTTTCGTCAGTTCAGGGTTTCTTGGCCTGCAGTACTATGGCTGTGCACTGCATACTTGCAGGCCCCTCATGCTATGCCATGTGACGCAGATACGAAAGTAGCACAGCACGATCGACATGGAAAGGCCAGTGTAAAATAGATCTACAAGTGATGTCTGGGCGGGTTAAGGAGCAGGCACAGGAACAAGCCGTAACACCACCGGCGGGGTCAGCAGCAGCAGCAGCAGCAGCAGCAGCAGCAGCAGGAGGAGGAGGAGGAGGAGGAGGAGGAGGAGCAGCAGCACCAGTAGCGGCAGCAGTCGCGGCAACTGCAACTGATTCGGTTTCTCTCCTTTCTTCATCCTCGTCGTCGTATGGTAAGAGCAGCAGCGCCAGCAGGAGGACAAGGCTAAGGCGTCCTGAAAAATCTAAGCAGAGCGGAATGGTTTTTAATCGGTGAGGAGCTTGGATGAGAGGCTGCAGCCAGCGTTTTTTTCTGTGATGTCGTACATGAACTTCGGTCTGTCTGGCTTTTGGCGGCTCAGGAGAAGCGCTGCAGTTGTCACAGCTCTACGAGTGTGGGATTTCTTGCCAGGCTTCTAAACAAAACGCACTACATGCTCTGCTTCCGGCTACTTTCTTTACCTGGCATGTCTTGGGGCATGCCTTACAATCGACAGCAGCTGTTGCGCTGTCATTGGTTAAACCATTTGGCAAACTCTTGTGCATGCTACCATAAGCCTCACACGCGAGACTTGGACTTGAACAATACCGTCGACCGGTGTCAGAAATTTAGCATAATGGTTTCCCAATGCACATTCTCAAAAGGTTCAAGACATCCAGACTCGCGTCCACGATTGATCTTTGTCTTGCACGTCCACAGGAAGCCCCTCGCAGACCCAGTAGGATATGATATGCTGCCTCGGCTCGATGGTGGCACCGAGCAAGTTAGGCTCTGGCCTTTGGATGTTCGATGCAGCGCTTGCAAGAGAGGGGCTCTGAGGAGAAGTTTCACGTCTGAGAACCCCAATAGCGGTTCAATTTTTCTATGAGCCTGGATCTTCCGTCAGAGATGGCTGGCTTTTCCGGGGTTTGAGAATCGCAAGCTCAGAGGCACGAAAGCGTGTAGATTTTAGTCTTGGTAGCCCGTCATCTCGCCCGAAACTGTGCAGCAGCAAAGCGCAAGCTGCAGGAGAGAGAGCCTTTGATTGCCGGGATCAGCGATAGCTTTCACAAGTCTTTGCGAAGAGAACGTGCTTCGAGTTTCAGTGTAGGCTAGCTGAGCACGAAAGGGCTTTCCTTCCGCCACTGAGACACCCCAAAATAGTCATAGTGCGCTTCAGTTGGAACATGCCTTGCCCCTCGCAGCTTTGCTGCATTGGGCGCGGCCCGCTACGTGGGCACCCCTTTTCTGTTGGCAAGACTGGAGAGTGGAGCAGAAGTTCAAAGGAGCTGCCTAGAGTGCAGGGGCTTGTCGACTTGCACATGGTTTCGGCATTCTAGGGTTGTGCAGCAGTTTCCAATGCTGCTGAGCGATGACTGTGATGTTAAGGAAGTTTGCATGACCCCCTGGAGCCCCAGATCTACTGGACAACTGGACTCCACCGTAGACCCAGGTCCAGTATCTCAGTCAACTACACAACTGATCACATCGTGAGCGTTCTGCCGCGTGACTTTGTGGTCTCCAGCTCAGCATGTTCTGCATGGCAGACAAGCGCAGCAAGACACCGCCGAAGTGATAACAAAGACGGGTGCCACGTGCCCGCTGTGCTGTCAAAACAAGCTTCACAACCTTGCGCAAGGTGGACACGACGAATGCCACCCTCGGTCCTGGGCAATCCAGGCCGCAAAAAAGCGCCAGTGTAGGGGATCTGAGCCTTGGGCTGAGCGACTAGCACGGCACAGGCTTGCACACGCTGCTGTTCTGCATGTGAACTCAGTTGAGGCGAAGAGGCCACTTCAACTAATCTAATCCGGTCAAACGAGCATCGGTTTGGTACGAAGAGCAAGAGTTCTTGTGGATGTGCAGAAGATCTTCAGTCTAAAGTTAGCCCTCATCGTACATCCGAGAGCGATCACACACTTGGCGCAGCTCACGCTGCGGTCTTGCCAGCATTGGGCAGCTGTGGGATATTATCTCTTTCTTTTGGGTCGCTTTTGCTGACATCTTGCTTCCCGATCATGGGTTGAAGTCGTCTCGCACGGAATGTGGCGGCAACAGCGAGCATAGCACTTCTTTTCAGCCGGTACCATGTGGGGAGGCTGTTGGCAACAATACTCGCGCGATGCCAGCAAAGCCTAAGATCCCCAGTTCGAAGACTTGAACTAGCGAACTACACATTTTTGAAACAAAAACAAGGGCATTGCCCTCTGCGTCGAAGTCCAAACGCAACCAGACTGCCGGGGATTTCAGAGTTTTCACTGTGCTTGTGCTGCTATCAGGCATACGGAGCTTTGAGCTTTGAGCCACGTGAGTCGCGTGTAGAGTGTAGACTCCGCTGTACCTGAGAGGCCGTCGCGGTCGCAAAAGACTCACCTTGGAAAGCAAGATTCGGTAGGGAAATGGAGGCATCTCGAATGCTTGCATGGCATTTGGGGTGGATTGACGGTTTATGTTCTGCTTTAGCCTTGGAGCCTATGTTGCGGGGTCTAGGGTTGGGTGCAGGGTTTAAACTGTTACTTAAAACCAGGAGCATGCGCTACGTTATAGGGTTTATGCTTGCGTAAGATCCCGGCCCTCTCTGTGACCTCTGGCCGCCCCTCCCCCCCCAGCAGCACCCCAGTTTGATGTAGTGGTATGTATGCATATGTATATATATATATATATGTATATATGTATGTGCGTGTGTGTGTGTGTGTGTGCATGTACGTATAGAGTTAGGTAGACAGATGGAGTAATAGGCGTGTGTATCCTTGCATGCTTGCCGGCCTTCCTTCAGGCTTGTGTGCCATTTTGCATGTGTGTATCCTGTGTGTGGCAGCTGCGGCAGCACCATGCAAGGGGGCCTCAGTCATGCTACAGACAGGTCGTCGCAAAGATTGTAGTCGGACCAATCCCGAAGATTTCAAAGAATGCAAGAAGGGCACGGAAGTTGCTCTAGATTCGGATATGTCAAAGCTCAAGCTTGTTCAAGGTTCATAAAGAGCCCCTTCATGAGCATCGACTCGCAGATCATGCAGCAACTCCCTCACTCCCAAGCTTGAAGCCAGTGCTTGTGACCTCAATTCTATATCTTGATCCAGAAGTTGCAAACGCGTTGCCACACAGACGACTTGCTCAGATGGTGCTGTCAGGAGCGCAGGCTCTCGGGCAGAAGCCCGAAGTGGGTTTCGCTTCGGTTGTGAGGTCTGCACGGATGATTGCGGACAGGATACAGCCACTGGGCTCTCGTTTCTCTGTCAGACTGCACACTCCCGCCACCTGAAATCGATAAATGCCGTAGTCACCTCTGCGACCCTATCTGGCAGCTTGACCAGATTGAATGTTTGCTTTGCAGCTTTGCGTCCTGAACCTGACAATGCCATGCCCGTGAGTTTTCGGATCCTGAAGACGGCATCCCAAAGACGCAACGTCGACAAGTGGCTGAACACTCGGGTTCGATTCGCGCTCACTGCCAGGATGGGTTCAGCCCGGGCTACTGCATGTTCATTGCAAGGCGGTGCCATGGCTTGCGTACCCACTGGACTGCAAAGCCAAAGCGTTCAACCCAACCTGAATCCCGTAGATTCCGTGGACTCCAGGACAGGCTCAGTTCCGAGGCTTACGGCTGGCTCCGGCAAAATTGGATTTCACCTTGTTCTAGTCGAAACAAATGAAACACCCCTCTATTCTCGGTATCATGGGAATCCCCGTGTGATGGATCTTTCTGAACAGACCAAAAAAGCACGCTCTGTATTCAAAGACCAGAAGTACTGCAGATGCTGAAGCCTGCAGACGGGAAAGCTATGGGAACCCGGGCCGAATAGGAACAAGAAGAGGAAGCCTGAATGTTCAGGGCACTGGGGTGTCGTTCTTCGGTGCTTGTGCATGGCGCTCCGCTTCATCCCTCAATGAAGAGCCCTCGAGTCCCCAGAGCCAGAGCCCAAAGGGTGCACCCCGAAAGCCGGAGTCTCGCCTGAAAAACACTCGACACACCCTCGCGTCTCCTCACACTCGATCCTTGCAGTCGCCGAAAGAGCCTTGCAGAGGC